TTTTCTGATTAAAAACAAATAAAACTAAAGAAACACTAACTTTATCTCTATTGAATGAAAAAAAATGGCTATTTGTATTAAGATCGAACAAAACTATAGGTAAACTAACTCTATCTCTACTAGATAAAATAAATAACTACTTCTATTACGATAGAATAAAAGCAAAAGAAAACTAATTGCAAAGTACACTAATTCGTCAATCATTTCATTTAGTTTTACTCAATAACAATAGTGAGCCTTTTCACCTATACACAACGTCATTATCAACACAAAATGATAGAAAATGCAAAAATATGTACAAAATTATTCTTTTCTTTTGTTCTGTCCTGACTATTGATAAACGTTGCAATGGAAGGTGGAGATTATATTTCGATCGCATTGCAATGTTTATCAATAATGGAAAAAGAACAATTTTGTACATATTTTGCACTTTCTATCATTTTGCATTGAGAATTACCGTGTGTATAGGTGAGAAGGTTTACTATTGTTTTTGTATAAAACAAAATAAAATGATTGATGAATTAGTATACTTTGCAATTTGTTTGTTTTCTTATATCTTGTCGAATAATATAAATACAGGAAAACTAACTCTAACTCTACTAAGATAAAATAAAACTAAAGAAGCATTAATTTGTCTCTATCGAATGAAAAAAATGATTTTTTTGATTAATATCGAAAGTAACCGAAAGAACACTAATTCTCTCTTTGCTACTTAGATAAAAGAAATAATTGTTTCACATTAAGATGTAATAAAACTCAATGAACAATACAATACAAATTGTGGAAAAAGCTTGTTAAGTTCATCAAAGAGAAGAATTGTTGTATACTTGTTTGCCGAACGACGCTGAATTTTCCTAGAATCCTTCTTATTGTTGCACATTGCTTGTGTCGATTTCCGTTGTTCTTGTCAGTGTATTATAAATAAGACTGTCACGATATCGGCAGCTAAAAGCTCAACGTTGAAAACAGATGTTGATAAAAGAACTAAGAGTTATGATAATAATTTTTTATGCAGAAAATAATGAGAAAAAAATTTAATATATTTGAGAACACTGACGAATCCATTTGGAGCTAATCAATATTCTTTCTCAATATAACAGGATAATTTTATGTAGGCTATGAAACGGACGAGAAGATGTTCTGTATTTTTAAAACTGATTTTTGAATTCACGAAAAAGCATTCGACAATTAGGAGAACGATGGAGAACACATTCTTTTCTCCCTAAGAATGACGTTGAATTGTCTGGAACGCGTTCATCAGTTCGAAGAATCCATTTTCAAGTATTTCTTGAGAGAAGGTCAAAGAAAGCATTCTCTTCAGATAAAGAACGATTTTGAACCGAGAAGAAACCATCCCACAAAAACGTGGAACGACAAAGAATGCATTCCTTCATATGCATAACTTATTCGTTTCATTCATGAACGCATTCGCCAAACTATAGAACGCGTCCTTCATGGGAAAGGTAACTTTCCATGTTTTGCTGAATGCGTTTCCTTCCGTTTTTTTCTATGATTATTTTTCACTGGGTTGCGCTTAATTATGCATGATTGAGCCTCATTCTTTTTCTTTCGTAATGTGCTTCTCATGTTGTATCATCATTCACTCGTATATTATATATATATTATTACGTTGCTGTCTTTATCCTATTATTCTTCCATATCTATTCTCTCCCTAGTCTCATCTCCTTTCTTTTCATTCTCTCTCACTCTATTTGCGGTATATAAACGTGTGCTTTGTATGTAAACGATACGATTAAATAATATGAAGGAATAGAATAAAGTGTAATTGCATCACTACTAATATTCTTTCTGTCATTTATCGTCACACACATATGATAAAACTGACGCGAAATCTTAATCCAAAGAAACCCACCCTCTTAATACAAAAAAAAAGAAATCAAATTCATGTCAAGTCTTGTTTGTTAAAAAAGAACTGTTTGAATCGCTTGAATCTTTTACTGTGAAAGAGTAAAAGCTTGAAGAAGAAAGACAGCTAGATTTGCAAGTAACATTCAATTTGTTCAAATAAAATTTATGTCCAAAAGAGTTTCAACTTGAGTCCCATGTGCTCGAATGCGATCGAATTGCGACGCAGTTACGCGTAACTGCGATCGCACTGTGACCCGTAATTGCGGAAAATTGCGGCGCAGCTACGCGTAACTACGAATTTTTTACCGTAGCTGCGCGCAACTGCGATATTTTGTTCACAGTTACGCGTAATTGCGTCGCAGTCGATCGTAGTCGAACATATGATTTTTTTGCTGCGATCAATGCGCCGCAGTTACGCACAGTTACGCGCAACTGCGACGCAGAATTGGCTCTACGCGTAACTGCGACGCAGTTGTTAAAAAAGTGGCGACATGGGGTTAGACTTAGAAAAATATTTTACTCTTTCAAAGGACGTATTTGACTCTTTTGTTCAAATCATTATGTTTTATGTACGGAAGTCTTTTGTTTTTCGAACACGGTAATTGCTGGAATTCAGATGGGATAAAGAAGTATCTTTCAGTTTATTGAAAAACTTATATTCTATATCTAATAATAGATCTATTTGAGCAATAAACTAGCGTTATTAGAGAGTTTCTCAATAGAATTCTTTTCATTAAGATTAATTGGAATTAATTAGTTTTGATCTTTGATTCTTGCGTTTCTATACATAATGATACATACAAATTATTAACTTTGAAAAACATGTCTTTTATATATTGAAAATTATGAAAAAAATATTAACAGGCATTTCAATAAAAGTAATCTATCGACATATAAACATTTTATTTCAGCATCTTTTACTAGTCATACAATTTCTAAATGATAATAATCATTAATTTCTTTTATGTGAAATATTTTCCTAATTAAATTAGATTAATTTTATATGATTAACATGCAAAATATTCTTGAGCTTTTTTTTCTGAGTCTTCATTAGTAGAACGCATCAGAGTAAATTGAATGAGATTAAGAAAAAAAAATACGCACGAATTGAAATTGACAAGAATTTCTTCATTTTATTTTTGTTTAACCTTTATTTTGAATATCAGCAAAACGCATTTATTTCAAATAACAATCAATTTTACATTTTCTAACAGTATTGTCTCAAAACCATTATCGATATATGTTGAACTAGCAAATGAAAATTCATCAATGAAACTAATATCATCGAAGTTTTTTAGTCGTTTTTGTAACTCTTCTTTTGACATTGGTTTATCTCGATAGAAAGTTACTTAGGGTAATGGAAATGTAGTGGCAGTAGCACTTTAATACCATATAGAAAACTTACAAAAACTCTCTCTGTCTCTCTCTGTATGCACTAAGAGTAAAGACAAAGCTCTATAGTTCTTCAACTGATATCCTCTTAATCAAATTTCGATAAGAGCTGTTTGTTTTGACATATGCAGCGATAACCCTTATGCCCATATAAAAAAAAGCGGGTAGTTATTTTTTTTTGTACAACTTCTGATAAAAACAAGACAGATAGCTACGATTTTCATCGTTAAAAAGATAAAGACGCGTCGGATCGTATATCCTAGATTTTTCTAATATATTGTTCCAAGTTCTTTATATCAATTTTTCGAAAAAAAAGTGGTGTTTTTCGCGATAATCGCTAGAAAAATGGACTTAGAATTTCGACTAGAATATCTATAACTCCTAAATGATTAAATCTAAACATCAAAATATATCACAGTCTTATAGATTCTTAATTGATGGTTAGAATGCAAATCTGATCATTGAAAATTCACTATAAATAATCTCATGAGGTAGATTTGTGTTCAAAATAATCGATTGAAGACATTAACAAAGGCAGACCAAGATATTCTGTAACATGCAATTTCATGTTTTTTTATTATGTCTTTCTAACTGTGAAAACCTCAGCTTTTTCTCTTGTTTCTATCAAAAGTTATACAAAAAAACCTATCCACCTTTTTTTTCATTAAAATAGGCATTAGTGTTATCGTCACATGTCATAACGAACAATTTTTTATCGAAATCTTATTAAGAAAATATTTGTTAAAGGATAATGAAATATTGTAGAAATATGAAACATTATTTTTGTGATAAACAGAATATAAATTGATTATTGGTTATGTTCATATTATGGAATTGATTTAAGAATAGAAAAAAAAACAGCGTTTGATTCTAAAGAAAAGACGCAAATTTTTTCAATAAATCTTTGCATGACTTTTGTTTTTAATCAAATAAATTCTTTGTTTCCCTAAAAAAAAAAACCTGTCTTACAAGAGAATCTGAAATAATAGATTTAAAAAAAGGGCATATTTATTTTTGATTGGATTAATGTTCAAGGTCTAAAAAACAAATTACACAGTTGACTTTAGTTCAAGCAATATTGACATTGTTGAAATACAATAGAATAAATTCTAAATATATATCCAGTAAGCTAAATTAATGATATTTCTTCTTTATTTTTTTTTCTGTAATCGTCACTTAGACGAAGATTTTATTATTCATTGACTGGCAAAAATATTAAATGAAACGATCATATTTTCTTCTGATGGTTGAATGAAAAGAGAATATTCAATAGAAAAGAATATTAATAACTTCATTAAAATGAAAGTAAACACCTCATCAATAGGCATCTGTTTCACACATTTGTAGATCACATGAAAAGAAAGGCTCTAGAGTAAAAGGGTAATCTTCATTTTTTCTTCTATTTCATTTTATCATTATCAAACTAGTCAGATAACAAAAAGTATATGATGATATTCAATACTTTTAGGTAGTTGTTATTCTATGAAGTAATTTTTCTTGATTATACAGAACACGTAAAAAAAAAAAAAGAAGAATTTGATTAAAAATTTCTCTCTCATATCGTTGCATAAAATTACAATTATACATTGATTGTATATCAATTATGAATTCAATTTAAAAGTTAAATGATTCATTTATTGAATTTAAAAAGATAATATAAAACATCTATGTAAAAAAAAAAGAAATTTTTAAATAATATTCGAATCATTTACTTTCATTTTGATATGAATTTAAAGTATTCACAACTGTCTTCCTAATAGAGTACATCGATCATGTATACCCATATTTAATAAACGTGTATCTCCATGTTTAGAATATAAAAGCTCATTAATAATTTGAAAACCATGACGCATAAAAGCTTTTCGTGAAAATACACTTGTACAAACAACATATGCAGCTTTAACACCTAATTGTCGAGCTTTATCAAGTGATTTAGATATTAAACGAGTACTTAAATTTTGACCACGTTGTTTTTCATCAACATTAATAACATCACAATGAAAAATACGATCAGTTTTATATAATTTAAATAGATCATAACCTTCCATTACTTGATCCATTAATGAAAAAATAAATTTTAATTTTTCAGACTCTAAAACAGGTATTTCTTCTTGTTTTGCACTATTTGAAATACCATTAAGTATAACACCAACAATTTCTTTATGAGGATTTGCTGCATCTACGGCAACAAATGAACATTGATCAGCAAGTGCAATATCAACCATACTATCAGTCCATGATAATGGTTCATGAGGAATTTCAAATTTGAGCATATCATTGAGTGGTTCTTGTATAAAAAATGAACTCATTAGAAGATTAATAACTGATTGACGATGTTCAGGCGATAATGGTACAATATCAATAGTATATTCTTCTGAAGCCATCTAAAAGAAAAAAAAAAATATTTATTTATTTATTTATTTTTTGAATCATGTCACATACATCGACACATGAGGAACCCAGTACAGGACAATTTGGGGCACTTGCTATACCTAGAAAAATTATTAGCAGCATATACAACGTTGAAAACATGTTTTTCTTTTGTAATAATAAGATACTACAATCTATAGGCTACATCTCAATATAAAACGCTAGTCCGCCTATGCATAGGAAAATAAACTATCTTATGATGTCGGCACATGACAAGTAGCGGTTATGAAAGAAACGCAAAATCAAGCACGTCGGCGCAGTTACTTCTTCTTATGAATGTCGGTATATATTGCTATTTGTCTTTTTCATAGCTCATTGAGTGTTGATGTAAGAATGCAAGCACTGAATGACGAGGAAAGGAAAAAATATATATATAACTTACTGTTTTTTTTCCTCTTCTTCTCTTTCTGTTCTTTTTCCTTACAAACCAGGCCGTGTTTTTTTTTGTATTCAAATCAACACTAAATGATTTCTTGCCGTCATTTTAATATATTTCAAAATAGTTTTCTTACATAATAGTAGAAATTGTTTATTCATTCAAAAAAAAAAAAAAGAACAAATTTTCTTGTTATAAAACAAATAAAATAAAAAAAAGCATAAAACAATAAGAAATTTTATTTCGAACACTATCTGACGTATAATATCTAGGTTCTAATTGTTGATCGATTGGACGACATTGCATATTTTCATAAGCATTTATTTCACCACGTAACATTTTTGTATACTCACGTTCAATACTAGCACCTTCAAAATAATTTTTTATTGAATTAAATGGATATTCATAACCAATTTTACATACACATCGATAACTAGCTAAATCAAAACCTGTTTCTTCATCTGGAATTATTTGATATTGACATTCTGTTGTTTCACGATGACATTTATGTAAACTTTGAAATGAATTATAAGCATTAATTCCAATTGTATTATCACATGGATTTATTGCATACCAACGAAGATTTGAACCAAAAACAATTGATACAAAACCAATTGGTAAACGACCTATTTCTTTAAATATAGGTACAGAATAACGCCAACGAACCATACTTTTTGGTGTTGGATTTGTAAATGAACAATCATGATAAGGACCAAACCTATATTAAAATTTATATTTCATTAGTTAAATAGAAGGATTTTTTTTATTTATTTACCATACACCAGTTGTTGGTGCATCATATAACAAAGTCGGCAATTTAATTAATTGTGTACCCAATAAATCTCTTCGCATTGTCATTGATATACTATATCGTGTTGTTTTAATATTTGTTCTCATTTGCATAGCTTTATCATACCATCCACCTTCATTTAAATAACTTCCATCTAATGTTCGATTAAGAATATATTTATTATCATCATTATCAAAACGTATAAATGATAAACCATAATTCATATGTCGAAAAACACTTGTTCTATAACCAAATTCATTTTTTCCTTCGTATAATTCATTTCGTTGTTGAAATGGATTTTGTCGTTCATATTCAGAACCATTTAAATAAATACTTACTTCTAATAATTGTGTATAAGTTAAACCTATACTCATTATTTCTGATTCAAGCCATTGTTCACTAAGTGGAGGATCTGATCGACGATCAATAAAACCATCATTTGCTGGATCTCGATCAGGTCTATATAATGCTAAATAACTTGAAAATAAATGAGCAAGACGTATAGCTTGTAATGTAAATGGATGAGCAATACGATCAATATGTCGTGTTAAATCATTAACAAAACGTATATTATCATCATCATTTTGTTCAACAGGTAACATAGCTATGTGTGACCAAGGTGGACATGTTGATGGACGATGAAAAATTAGTGAACGAAGTTTTTCAAATTGATTTGGTCGTGAAATAGAACGACGATATTGATGTCGTTTAGATCTTTCAACATGCCATGTTGGATATTGTGTTAAAAGACGTATTGGTTGACAATGAGGTATAGATTTTGATGAATATTTATCAAATGCAGGTCGATATGGTATATGTACATATGATGGATAACGAAAATTTGGATGACATGAACATTGATAACCACCACTTTGTAAACCAAAACCAGCAATTGGTTCGCACTATAAAAATTTCAAAGATATTCTATTCAATAAGGAATTTACATATGATAAAAAGCAATGATAAATATATCTGTTGATTCATAAAAAAAAGAATATGTAATATAACATTCGATCGATTTGTATTGAGATTTTTCTTTATTTTGTTCTATTGTCATTTTATCTCATATGTTTGCACTTATAATGACATTGATAGATCGATAAAAAAAGCATTACATAGCAAGCTTTTCTGTACTTATCTTTTGTATTACTCAATTCAAAATGTTTTCTTCTATTATAAGGAAGATAGTTGACATATGTATATTTTTGTATAATGATAGCGCATTAATTCAGATCTATTTTTATGTCATCTTGACCGTGTTTTTTCTTATGATAAAAATAAACTTCTGTAATCATCACAACTTATCAGTGCAATCTCTTTAAGACGGAAATGTAGAATTTACATCTGTTCTTTAACATCATTATACTAATACAAAATATGTTAAGTGAAAAATCTCTAGTAGACTATGTTTGTTTTTCAAGAATGATCGATCGACAAGGAAACGATCTATCTTATTTATTGTTGCATTTTGAATAAAAATTTTGTTTTTTCTTTTATTGTTGCTGAGTGCATACGATTAGAGGAGGGAGAAGAGGAAGCAAGGTAATTTTTCCCTTTCTAAATGTTTTGTTTTTTGTGCTTTGCATTTCTCTCCGGAAACTTTCTATTGGGGATAATTAACATCTTCAATAGTTCGGTGAAACAGATTGCCTACGTAAAAGCGAAGTTTTGTTTACATTTTTTTAAAAAGAAAATCAGTTATTTTCTTTCAAAGGAAAACTGAAGAATATTATATATGCAATTTAGCTCAATATGTGAACAACAATTTCAAGTATCATTTTATTGAATATATTTCGATCAAGCAATTTATTAAGCATCCGATGAATATTTTATCCTAAAATATATTTAGTGTATTTTCTCAGATAAAATTCTTACAATATTTTCATAGGATATCATAGGTTCACAAATGTATTCCAGTCATTCAAATTTCGAGGAGGACTTATTGTAGATCCAAATGAACTATAAATACTTTGAAAAGAGTTGAGGTTTTGGAATTTCGTCAATGGTGAAAGTCATATTGATGGAATTTCGGCTACCCATAAAGTTCGTGCCCTTGTTGCGGAAATACTGCACTTTTACACTATGTTTTAAATGAATGTCGAATATTTTCGACTTGAAATTTTGCATAGCGATAAATCTTAATGAAAATAATTTGCTGTAAAAGTTGTAAGTCTTTTAATTGCTTCTATCCTGAAATACGAACATTAGATCTGTCGGTTTATATGAGCAATGTAAATGGTATGCTATTACTATAATTGTATCTTAGGATAGGAATAACGACAAGATCTGAAACATTTACAAAAAAGTTGTTCTCATTGAGACATGTCTCTATGCAAAATTTCAAGTCAAAAATCAGCTTTTCTGATACCACGGCATTTATTTAAAAAATGCTGTAGCGAGAACTCTTCTCAGAGCACTCATAGCTCATTTATATTCGCATAATATACATAGTTTCGATTCAAAAATGATTTATCAGTTAAAGAACTCCGGTTGTATGATCCTAAGGAGGCGAGAGCTGTAAAAACTTTGATTTAAACTTACACTCACGATTCTTCTTCGAACATATATATGTGAATATGTATAATAACAAATATTCTAATTAAAATCTAATGAATTCTTTAACAAATATCTGATAATAATATTATTAAATCATTTATAAATAAATATTTTTTGTTTTTGAAAAATACTTACAAAAGCATTACGATCACATACAGCTGAATTAGCATAAACATTTCGTATATGTTCACCAGGACATTGATTAACATCAAGTTGCGTATATGCAAGTTCGACATTTGTAACACCAGCATAACTTTAAGAAATTTTATTATAGCAAAAAAAATATTACATTATTTAATCTTACTTATAACGACGATTATTTTGAAAACTAGCTCGATTTTTATAATTAAAATGATTTGTTGCCCAAATTGGTTGAATAGATGAAACAAGCCATTCATATGAATTTAATGGACAATATATATAAGGTCCTGTCCAACGATTCTTTTCAAACATTGGTAAAAGAAAATTTCGTTGCATACGATCAGGTAAAATATCATATGTTAACCTTTAAAACAGAAAAAAAAAAAAAATAAGTTATTATTTTCTTTCTTTTTATATTTCAATTCATTACATATATTGATTTGATTCAGCTTGTGTTTGATTTAGAAACCATCCTCGAGCATATCGATAATAATTTGGATCACGATAATAATCATAAACAAGATCAGCATATGGAAAAACAGGATTAAATTCAGATTGTTTATGCGTTATATCACTTCTTAAAGGTTTTGGTATTGATCGATAAGGTAATGGAAAATATGTTCCATGTTTTAAAAGATCATTATATTCTTTTGTTTCTTTACCCCAATCAGCTAAATCATCTTGATCAGATCTTAAACGTGTTAACCATGTTTGTATTAATGCATGAAAATATTCATCATAATTACGAAATATTTTTATTGGATTATTATAAACATGATTAAAATGTTCGAAAAATCTTAATGTATAATCATTTGTTGTAAATGGTCCAACACCAATATCATTTACTGATATATGTTCAGGAGAATCAATTGAAAATGCATAAATACCAAATGGTCGTTCAAAATTAATAAAACTACCACCAATTTTATACCATGGTACACGAAATACTTCATTAGAATCAAATGCATAACGAACTGTTTGAATTGTATCAAGAGATTTTCCTTGAATAAGACTTAATTGTTTAAGAGTATGAAGTTGAGCAGCAGCAGAAAGATAGAAATAGAGAATTCCTGAGAACAAAAAAAAAACCA